ATGAAAAGCATGAAAGCAGGTAAGGCTGCCGGATATGATAGAGTTTCACTCGAAATGCTAAGGGCTGGAGAGGAAGTGGTGGCAGGCCTGCTGCACACCTTGTTTAATTTATGCTGGGAACTGAAGCGGGTACCGGTAGACTGGTGCAAAGCCGTAATAGTCCCAGTATATAAGGGAAAAGGGTCGCAGCAGGACTGTAAAAACTACCGTGGCATCAGCCTTCTTAGCATTGTGGGAAAACTGTATGCTAAGGTACTGATTGAAAGGGTCATGAAAGAAACTGATGGAAAAATTTGGGATGTGCAAGCAGGATTTAGAAAGGGAATGGGATGTACAGATCAAGTCTTTTCCATGCGCATGATCGCGGAGAAGTTTTTGGCCAAAAACCAAAAGGTTTTTTGTGCGTTCATGGACTTGGAAAAGGCCTATGACAGAGTGAATAGGGATGTGCTATGGCAAACACTGAACTCATTTGGGTTGAGCGCTGGCTTGATACGGGCATTGGAGTCCCTTTATAGGGACTCTAGTGCTTGTGTTAGGATCAACGGGGTCTACTCGGACTGGTTTGACATCCATAAAGGTGTCAGACAGGGCTGTGTAGCTTCCCCGTGGCTGTTCAACCTATTTATGGACAGTTGTTTGCAAAATTTGAAAGTTGAAGAATGCGGATTAAGAATGGGTGAGTTAACCGTCAAATGCCTTTTGTACGCCGATGATCAAGTTATACTTGCGTCGTCGGCGGCCGAGTTGCAAATGATGGTTACATTAATGAACAGATCATTAAAAGAAAGGGGTATGAAAGTGAACGCAAGTAAGACGAAGGTTATGGTTTTTGAAAGAGAAGAAAGTAAAACGATTTGTGAAATAAGAATAGAAGGGGAGTTGATCGAGCAAGTAGACGAGTTTGTATATTTGGGCTGCGTATTTAGCAGGGATGGGAGATATGATAAGGATATAGAACGACGAGTGAATGCGGGAAATAGAGTAAATGGGGCCCTGCACTCTATTGTGAAGAGTCAAAATGTGTCGAAAAAGGCACGTATGGCAATTCACAATGCTGTGTTGGTCCCTACTTTAACATATGGTAGTGAAAGTTGGGTGTGGCAGAAGAAGCACGAGAGTAGAATGAACGCAGTAGAAATGCGGTCGTTAAGGAGTATGTTAGGGCTGAATCTTAATGACGGGGTAAGAAATTGTGTAATAAGAGAAGAGTGTGGTTTGCAAGATGATGTTGTGACCAGGATTAAGAAAGGAATGCTTCGGTGGTTTGGTCATGTGGAAAGAATGAATGAGGAAAGAGTGACAAAGAAAATTTATGTTGCAGAAGTGAATGGCAGAGTCGGAAAGGGACGTCCTAGGCGAAAATTTATCGACCAAATTGGCGATTTATTGAAAACGGGCCAAATTAGGAGTACCCTTAACCGACGAGCATGTATGCGGAGGTGTATGGATGTGAAGGAGGCGAGAGAGGTGTGTCAGGATCGTGCCAAATGGAAGTCTGTAGTCTCTGCCTACCCCTCTGGGTGACAGGCGTGAGTGTTTATGTATGTATGTATTCTGACCTTCTGTGTTCGTCCATCGTACCGTCGTCCGTCTTTTAGAATCACGGTGGTGCCACCTAGCTGAATTTAATTTTGCAACATATTCGATTTTCCCACGGGAATGATATGTTTTTCCGCTAAAGTAGTCTATGTCACTCTACAGCCACCGAACTATCCCCATACAAAAAATCATGCCATGCCGACGGTCTGTTGCGACGTGAAAGAAATACAAACTTGTGCAACATATTCGATTTTCCCACGGGAATGAGATGTCTTTCCGCGGAAAAAGTAACCTATGTCACTCTACAGCCCCCGAACTATCCCCATACAAAAAAATCATGCCATGCCGACGCTCTGTTGCGACGTGAAAGAAATACAAACAAACAAACAAACACACTTTCGCATTTATAATATTAGTATGGATAGCGTGCAGTTAGGCTAAATAATTTTCATGGGAAATTTGGAAACAATTGTAACGTCAAAACACATCTCGTGTTGACGTTTATACGTGTGAATTGACGTGTTAGTGACATTTTAGTGGCTACACGGGCTCCGCCCACTCCCCCGTTCTATTATGTATGTATTATAGTATTCTATGCTTTAGGCATTCTCTAAGGAGATAAAGTTTTCGCGGTTGTTCTATATAAATTTCAACCCGATCTGATGATATCCGAAATTCAATCTAGACTTATCAAGATAGTCTCGTTTCACCTGCGTACGTGTTTTTTTACATAATTTCAAATAATTTTATGACCAATAATACTAAAATTGTAAGTAACATAAAATTAAGGTACTTACACATTACAATTAGGGAAAATAAATATGTAAGTAAACCATAAATGTAAATTCTTAAAAGAAATTAATTATTATAGCACTCAAACACACACATTTTATAGCGAACACTTGTAAGGTTGCCTTACTGGTAGCTGGCAAGGGTTCGTTGTTTTCTTTGACCTACTTCGGATGTAGGTATGTGGTATGAAAACTACGCCCCTTGCTTTCACGTCGACGAGGAGACGGAAATGTTAAATGTTGTGTGTCGTTTTAACATAAATCACTTTTACCACTTAGAAATACATTTACCTTACGTGGTACTCTACTTACTAACTTTGATTAACATTTTGTATCATATATCAGTAATATAATCAAATATTACCAACAACGATACAAATATACGTAAAAAGTGTTATTGAACTATCGATTTTATGAAAATATAATCATTTTGTAACATACAAAAGCTTCTGCGGGTATATTGAACCTAAGAACTCACAGTATCCGGTACGGTATTAATTGGCTGAAAATACTAATTAATAATCGATAGATAAATTGTTAACATAGCATTTAACATATTTTTTTGCTGAAATAAATATATTAGTAGGTAAATATAATAAATCAGATATGAATACTGTTTGAATTTAATTATTATACATACTAACACATATATTATTATACATATTAACACATTATTATTGTAGTAGTGATCATGAGGTCCTGGGTTCGAATCCCGGTTCGAGACAAAAAATCAATTATTGAGTTTTTCTGTCAAGAAATTCTCAGTAGCTGCCCGGAGTTAGGAAGATGGCGGTGTCTCACCACCGTGCCTCGGAAAGCACGTAAAGCCTTTGGTCCTGCGCCTGATCTCTCTCCGGTCGTGTCGGTTTACCGTCCCATCGGGTTATGAGAGTGAGGGAATAGAGAGTGCACCTGTGCTTGCGCATACACTTGGGCACTATAATCCTGTCCTGCGCTGATGGCTAGCCTCAGTTGAGGCAGGCCGCCGTGGCCGAAATTCGGTCTGGAGGACATTATTATTATTAATTATTAATTACCAGGGTAGCCCAGGTGCTAAGAGTCCGGCGTAAATTTAACGCGAGCAATTCCAATCGATTCCCACCGAGACCAATGAAATTATAAAACTTGTTTTACTATGAAATCAGCAGTGAAGGAAAACATCGTGAGAAAACTTGCACGAATGGGAAATATATTAAATAAAAATATATTTCGAAAAATGTGAAGTCCGCCAACACGCATTATGTCAGTGAGTAACAATTCCTTGCCCAATACCCTAGGCCCTAGCAGAAACGAGAGACTGCATTCAGCCGAGGAACGTATTATTAATTAAACCACCCTAAGTTTTTTACCTTAACTGAAAGATATATAAAGGCATACGAAATCAATACCTACATATAATAAAAATGTAAATTGCATGCGTCTGCATATTTAAAAAACACAATTAACATAATAAATAGAGCTCATTGAAATCCAAATGAGCTTTAGCTTTAAAACTTAAATCTATATGACGGCTCCGTGGCGCAGTGGCTTAGCAATGAGTAAAAAAGCGCTAAGGGCCACGGGTTCGAATCCCGCACGGAACAAGTATTTGTATGGCCTACAAGTGATTGTTCCGGGTCTGGATGCTTGTCCTTGTGAAATTTATGTATGTAAACTGCCCCCACGATACAGGAGAAAATCCTAGTGTGGAGGTAACGTTTTTAAGAAAAAGAAAAATATCTGTACAATATAATTCTAGCATTTGTATTTTGTAGTGGTAGGTACAATCTTTTCAAGCAATTAAAATCGTTCATTTGTATCATCTAGTAGACATTTATTAAACCATTAACATGTGAAAGCTTTAGGTGAATAAAATGTTGATAAGAAGTAAAACAAGCTGCAATAGCTTTAAAAACAGAATTCAATCAGCAGAATTTTTGCAAATGTTCGTGTCTTGTTCACATTCGCTTTAATAGAATTTTTAACTCGGTCCATATTGTACAAAGGCGCGGATTTACTTTCATTATTGTATCATTCTTATTCATCAAGTGAGCTCGGCTCTAGTGAAGTCAGTGTAACTTTCAACGGAATATATTTACGCGCTCTCTATTTTGAGTTGCGACGTATCAAACATAAACAAAGAATATTTTTTAACAGCAGCAACGAACGCGGGCTATTGACCTAAAATTTAAATGAGAAAAATGCCTCATTTTTCCGCGGTCACTCGAAACAAACGTTGCCATAACTACCATATCGACCGCCGGCTTTTCCGAGACTTTCCTCTGAAGTACTCACATTTGCGTGACACACGCTGAAGTGAGGACTAAATGTCTAGACGTCGAGACAGTTGTACTTTACCGTTCATTGCGATCAGTGTTATCGCAGTACACGTAATAATGTGGGAGCGGTCGATGTAGACAAAGTGCCGTTATATTAAAATATAACATTGTTATCCGTGAGATTTTGAATTGCATAGTAGAACCGCGATGTGCCAGTCCAACAATCGCGGACAATGAGTGCACGTGAGAGACGAAGCGAGACGCGCGACCGGCGATGCGCAAGCGGCCGTTTTTAAAAAGCACTCTGGATCACTCATTAGCTGGTGCGCCGTAAATGCGCTGCGGTTGATGGAAACGCAGCGCGTGTGCGATACGGGACCTTAGAAAGTGTAATGTACAGTGCGGTGCCATGCTGTCGGTGAGCAAGCCGACGTCTTTAGTCCAGCAGAAGAAACAGCAGTGGGCGCGGGAGAGAGGTGCGTACAGCGTACTGCGTCCGGTCAGACCGAGCGCGCTCCGACCGCCGATGCGCGCTCACTGCATCACCTTAACACTTTTGCAACACCTCACGGTCACACTTTAGTGAAGTTTTGCGTCCGTTCCCGCCACCGCACCGTGACAGATTGGTCCATTGGTCTACCAGTATCTGCACGAAACACGTGAAGTTGATTTTAACGGATTTTGAAATATTAATCTGGTGTCGGTATGTAAACGCCAATTTATCTGTTTTAACAGCTTTTCATAATATGTGATTTATAATTTAATTATTTTAATTACATATTGTAATTTATTTCCTAATAATTTTAACATAACACAAAAATAATAAAATTACATTTAATTATTTTTTCTGTAACTTTAGACCAATTGAGACGGTAAATGTGATTAATTAATGTATTAACTTTCCAAAAGAGTTTTTAACGAGTTTTATAGTGAAGGTATTCATAGTAAATAGTTATTTTGCTCGTTCATCTTAAAAAGTAATAGTGTCATGTAGTTAGAAATGCATACAGTGATAATATCTTGAGTATTTTAAGGCGTTCTTGTAGTACGGTGTCTATGTATGAAAACGTTAACTCGCTCCCCGTAATTGTCAATTGTAATTTGTAATTGTAATTGGTATAAAAGCGAGGAGAATTTTAAAACAGCAATGCACATCCAGGGTGGATTGTGGACAAATTCGGGCACTGCTTAGATAGTACTAAAATAATAACAGTATAGTTTAAATTGCGATTTGGTATGATTGGATATGATTTTTAATCGACCCTTTCATCATGATTCGTGTTTTTTGTCTTCACACAACCCTTCATCTATGTTCAATTTTTTTAAATAATTTTGATATTGTACAATAATTACATTTAAGTTGATAATGATTTCTTATGTTTGCACGAATGCTACATACAAGTATAGAATAAAACTAATTTTACGGATATTATCGTTATCGCCTTTAATTTTAACTTTTTTTCTTCCCGACGTTTCACTGATGCGAAACTCTGACGCACCGGGAAGTCTGCTGTATGTATGCAACATGTTCAGAATCGTTCCAACCATTATATCAGATTGGATTGACCACAAAATCTTGCAAAATTATACCAATTCCTACCAACGATGATTTGCAAGGCTATTGAAAATAAAGTACAATCTAATTTTAATAGAGAAAATGGCTGGGCGATCCCATATGCAATTAATAAAATTAAATACAAACCCAAGCATACTACTGCAACGATTTAAGATTGTTGTGCGTGGATCGCACAAAAATTAATAATTAAAAGTTAAAGGTAGCCTTCGTAAACTACGACATCAGGACGTCAAACACCTCAGTCTCCCCCGTGACCATGGGTGATGAAAAGTGACAAAAACGTCGGGAGTTAAAAAGTTAATATTAAACGCCATAAAAACCGTAAAATTAGTTTTATTCCATAGATACTTATATCACAGAGCTTTAAAAATATTTAAAAAGTACTGCAACGTCGCCTTAACGCAAAACGTGCCTTGTTACTATAAACATCTAACATGTTAGGAACAGAAATTCGTGCAATTATTGTATGCAACAACGAAAGTGACTTACATTTTAACAATTTCGTAAGAAGTATTTAAAAAAATATTTGTACGAATAGAAAATAATATGATAATAGACGTGTAGGAAGGAGGAATTTTAAGAAATCTTACCAGCACGCTGACCTTTCTTCCTGCAGATGTAACTCGGGCTATCGACTGATGGCGAAAAATCTATACAAACACTCCGAGCCCAAATTTTACAGACTGACAGCCAAAATAGCTATTCCTCGCGTCCTATTCCGCCGTCGACGCCCTCATCGGGTATACTGTATTGTGATATCAATTTTTGTGTAACAATAGGTTGTTGGTATATAAAAGCGGTATATAAAAGACACGCTTTTTAGAGCAACAATCAAGCATAGTCCACCAGTAATTGAACAGTGTAGGCCTTAGACATAGACACAAGTCTTTGATTAAATTTAAAATGCAAATGAGTTGTTGATACTCTTAACATCTTAGATGGAATGATTTCTTCGCCGATCGATCCAGTTGATTTAGTGCTGCAGCCATAAAACCCACAGTTGCAGTGTGGCTGTACCACATATAAACCTTTTTTTAACATGTCATACCTACCTTGGTATAGCTCATCCCATTGGCGTGTCATCGAACACGGGCAATTGAGGACAAGGGTCTTTGTGTTTGTGCACTCAATTGAGGCCCTATTATATTTCCTGGCCAGATAACTTCCGATTACAATTTGGTGGTCACTGTCGTCATGCACATTAATTGTATATTTGGTAAAAAAATATATTTTTATTGAAAGCCTACACTGCTCCTGTTAACTCTCCAAATACTCATATCTGGGAAAAATTGGCCAAGAGGTTGTAATTTAAAAAAAATTCCAATGTTTTGTTATATTACTTTTAATGGGGTTAGGAATTGAAATGTTACTTTAAAACTTACCCACATTTTGTGATAACTGGTGTATCCAAGGCGAAAAGTGGTAAAAAAGAAAACATCGATTTATTATTTTAACTACTTATTTCCAAAGACCTGTATAATGACAGGTAAGTTTGCAAATATGGGGAAGTACTAAGGAAGAACATAACACACGTTGTTTTGGTAACATATTATTTAAATTGAGACCTAAATTGCATGAATGAACATACTCCAACATCTAATTACGTTAGAAACTACTCTGAAAAGTATGACACTGTGGCTCATTAGTTAAGTGTACTATGCTCTAAGATAAGGATAAATGTACTGAAGGAAATTGTAAGGGTCCTTTAGTATGACAGCAGAATCGTTAAAAGAAAGATTTAATAAAAAAAGAAACTTTTTAAGACAGTGCGTAACGATTGAAATGTATAAATGTTGTATGCTATTTATAAATGTTTCCATTGTCAATTTATTGATCAATAACTAGTGTTATTTAGAGGTCTTTGCCGCTCGATAAACAATTACGCACCCGTGAACCTTCCATCAAGGTCCGAAAGCAATGAACTCTTCTATTTAATTCAAACACCAAATTGCTTAGGTATTGGTTGTGTATATATAAAATATATCGTTTACTCATAAATCTTGTTCAATCAAAAACAAGTACTAAAAATCAATTCCATTTCTAATCAGTATACGAATCAGTAACTTAACACTAACTTTAAAAAAAAACGTTACCACCATATTAGGATGGACCTAGTATGGTGTTAACATTTTTCTGTATCGTGGAAGCAGTTTACATACATAAATTTAACAGGGATAAATATCCAGACTGGAACAATTATTTTCAGTATACTCGTAAAAAAGTGTCCGTAGGAAAGCGCTAAATAATAGTGGCGCCACTGTAGCTAAAATTTAAATTGTAAAGAACTTTTTATAATTTTTTTTATTGCACAGACTTTCACCATAATTCTTGTTAGAATAATTATTTTATTGCTTTCAAAATTTTAATTATCAAAATCACTCTCAACGTATTTTACGGAGATTTATCATACCCCGTAGATACTCGAGCGCTGTTGTGGAGAGTTTTTGAACTAGGTATTATTTACTGCTTACGGATGGACACATTTTCAACTATTCTCCTATGGGAGATTGTCCTCCTTACATCTATGCTCCATGGTTGAACCGATTGTAATGACACTTCGGGAACAGATAGATCAATGCTAGGAGTGATCTAGGCTATATTTTATCTTTTAAAAACTTTCTAGATATTTTTTCGAAAAATCGAAACATTGATAAAATAAAAATGGTCTTTGATAATTATGTTTAATCTAAATAGCCCATATTAATAGATCCTACTCAGGGAAAGCCAGGGCCGGTAGTATATTACAAATATATAATATATATTTGTTTAAATAAGTTTCTCAAAAACTGCTCTAATGATTTCGATGAAATTTGGAATATAGGAAATTACTGGGGTGAAAAATCGATATAGGTGACTGGTTTTTCTGGAATAATTCATTTTTCCCTGTTTTCACGCACAATTGGTAATTCTGCCACAGAAATTATCTTCTCATTATGCGTATGCGTGCGTAAGCGCGTAGGTCTAATGTGCACGTCTGCGAAGCCTGCGATGTGGTCACGAAATCACTTTTTATTTTTGTTCTTTAGTATCCTAGCCAAGATGGGCAAGATGGTCAAAAATAAAACTATAAACTCAAAATGTTTTCTTTGCGGATTTACATACATTTTTACAGAACCTATATTTTATAGACCCTTTTTAATAGAAACGAGGTATTCTATCTTAATCCTCTGGGGTGACAAGTATCTGCATTGTGATTCTTAATTGAGGATAAATGTAGATGTCTATGGGCCACAGCGTATTTGTCACCCTAATATTGACGCTATGCGTGAGCTCAAAACTTTGTTCGTTAAACGTTAAATTCTTCACTGTTTTATTGATATATAATCAAACCTGTTTATTACTGAAATAATACTAATTTTTACGGAATTTATCGCGTATATTTAACTTTTTTACCCGACGTTTCGAGAGCTTTACAGCACCCATGGTCACGGGAAGGACTGAGATGTTCAACATCCAGCTGTCATAGTTAACCGCGGTTACCATAGATTAAAATTTTACTTTTGTTCCGATCTACACAGTATGAACTTATGGTATCATGGAGTCTTGCAGTTGTATGCTTGGGTTGGGATTTAATTTTATTTATTATAGGATCCCAAGCAGATGGTAGCACCCAGCCATCTTCTCTATTGAAATTAGGATGTTTTTTGATTTCAATAGCCTCGCGAATCATCCTTGGAAGGAATCGGTGTTCTTTAGCGAGGATTTGTGGTCTATCAAATCTGATGTAGTGACGGGGGCGATCCTGTACATGTTCACAGACTGCAGACTTCCCGGAGCGTCGATTCTTCACATCAGCTATATGTTAAACCCGCGTCAAAGAACATATAGCTGATGTGAAGAATCGACGCTCCGGGAAGTCTGCAGTCTGTGAACATGTACAGGATCGCACCCGTCACTACA